AAAAAAGGAATGCATGCAAAATACGGTCATTCATGATTTATAAATTTGTATTACATGAGGCACACCACAAGGAATCTTTAATTTCGACCCCAAAGCTTTCAGTCATTTTTATGTGAAATAAGTTGCGTCATTTGCTACATGCATAGAGCGACCATCAGACATGAGTCTCTCTTGAAACGGTCATTGGTGATATCATAATATGATTTACGTTAAGTGTAATATCTCGGAATCTTGTGGTTTAGTTCTACTTAGATGACATACCTGAAGTGAGCAATGGACGATTTTCAAGTCTTTTGTTTTTGTTTAGGACAGAAAGTTCCGCAGCGGCACTTTAAAAGCCTAAAATATCACTTGGATTAGTAAAAGGAAGAGAAGACTTTGTCCAAGCTTGGCTACCTCAACTGGAAATACCCGTCGAAATCCTTCAATTTATATAGTATTCTTACGTGATAGCTGAGTTGAATGAATCAATAGAGCAGGTGGACAGGAAGAGGAAGTTAATAATATTACTAAATGTATCACATGACCTCATACGTTACAGATGTAGACTTTATTTCAGACCATTTTCCCGCATTTTGGCAGGCGTGACTGAATATCTTTTTAAAGTTGATCCTACAGCATGCTTTAAGTTCCGTTATTCTGCTTTTTATTAAATCGCAAGCCATGAAAACACGCGTGGAATAGGATTAAAAAAAAACAGTGTTCCAATGCGCTTACACTCTATTTACCTCGCGCTTTCTTCTATGATTTGAATTTCAGTTTGTCATTGTTCTAGATGGTCTGGAATAAAACCTTTCATTATTCTTAATTCATTCTGGTGACGACTCCGCCGCTTTGGAAGCCAGTATGAACAACGAGAATAAAATTTATTTATTTACTTTGGCAATTTAAATTCCTAGCAATCCCTAACCGAAAAATAGCGAAGCTAATCGAGGCGGGAGGGAAGCAAACGTTCTTCAATAACAAGTTTAACTGCAAAGAGGAAATGACTGAGAGAGCATACGCATACAGGAACGTTT